CATCTTTGTGCATGTCAAGAGTCGGTTGTATCACAATGGTCGTAAAGGTGGATGTCATCATAGCGGCCGGGGTAGTTGGCTCTGCTGAGGTAGCGGTTTATTGCACAATTTCCAGGGCCAGCTTGCGACGAACAGGATCAAAATCAGGTTTCGTCGTCGGGCCGACGTCTTTCTCAGGGCCTGGATGACTGGCAATCTTTCCAGGTAGCTTCTCGGGGTGCTCGACGATGCTGGGAATCGCCATGTCGATTTCATGGGCCATCTTGTTCAGGAAGTTGGTCACCTAGAAGGGCGTGTCAGTATGGACTCCGAAACAATAGACGAAAATCGTACCGGCTTGACAAACCATCTCGAGCCACCAAGCTCGAACCAACCCAGATGGCCACCCCAGGAAGTAGTCATCATAACACCGTACGGCGTCTGGGTGATCTCCTGGAACGGAAGAGCATTGCGTGAAGCAATCTAGAGTGGGTCAATAACATTTCTTTTGGACATAGATTGTGGACTTACGGGGTCATCTTCAGCCTGAATGGTCATGAACGGAATGCGAATTGCAAGCATCGAATCAGTAGATGAAGCATCACGGTAATATGCGCCTTCCGTTGGGTAGCCCCACAATGGACATTGCAAAGCCCTGCTTGTAATTAGACATCATGAGTTAGAAGGACAGATAATCATGCGTACCGATCAAATTCATGCAGGTACTTGATATTTCTCACGGCCTCGATATCAATCCGCGGATTCTTCGAGACTTCCTCGACGTGTCTGGCGTAAAATGTTAACAGAGAGGATAATACCTATCAAGCAAAAGTCCGCTTACTGTTCCATCATTTTCTTCATATTGGAGCCCATTGTCGAGCTGTATACCTCCATACCCAACCAGGTACTCTGCAGGTTCACAGAGCTGACATCGAGGTTCCACGGGCTCGCGCAGATCACGGCAGCTTTGAGTTGGCAGGCATCCCCTTCCTCTCCAAGGTACTATATAGACGGTTAGCATATATCTTCCATTATCGATCTCCTCAGTTCTTACATTGGTAAGAATATTAGCACCCAGGGAGAAGCCGATGCCGAAAAGCGGCCTGTTGGGAAACATCTTCCGGAGCCATTTCACAGACTGTCGGACATCCCATGTAGCCCGAGCATTGTAAAGCATGCCGCTGGTGATCTTAGTCTGGGCACATCCTCTCGAATTAACCACGCACGCTTCCCAGGACTTGTCCGCGACAAGCGGAGCGAGGACGTGCCGCAAGTACAGTTCATGGGAGCCACCGCTCAGACCGTGAAGGACCACCAGCATGGGCTTTGTGTCGTCCGACGGCAGAGCCGCAAATTGACCTTCGGAGAAAAACGACGTTCGTTCTGGCAGGCCGGATGGCAGCGTGTATTTCCTCGCCTGGTCAGTGAGCTCTCCCTCTGGAGGCATGTCGTAGGGCTCCACCACGAAGTCAATGGCATAGTGTCCCGCGTACGCCGCACTGTCGGACTGGAACACCTTTCGCTTGTAGTAAATCGGCACTGGGTCGTATTTCATGACGGTCCAAGCGGTCTGCAGGTGCCCGTTGAATAGGAATGGGTTGAGGTAGCATTCTTTCGGTGTGGCACTGCGACAGATGTCCACCAGAGTGGTCTTGTCCCCAGCCTTTGATTTCAGGAGTAACTGGTTGTCCTTGGAGTGATAGAACGCGATCCGCCCGCTCGGACGGACCGAGGACAGCAGGCCCATTGTTGCTCACAAGAAGGTTGATAAGATCAACAACCGTTAAAACGAGGGGATCCGTTCCGAGGCGAAATCAAACAAGTGTTGCTAACAGTCTATGAAAAGTTTTTCTTCTATGCTGCACAAAAGCCAAAACGTGGCGCGGCTGAACTGCCTGAACCAGGGACGGGCCGAGGCATTTGCCCGATCGAGTGGAGCTGACTCAGCAGATCAGGTGACGGGGCGCACTTGTGAATCACGATCGCCTTAGTCATCCCCGTGCTGTTCGCCCATGTGCCTTGGTCACTCTCTCGTGTCAGTTGACACGTCAGGACGGCACGAAACAATCCGTCCAGGGCCCTGAAAACACTCGGATGAAGAGATGTTGACGTCCGCAGCCATGTTGTTGCCCAAAAATGAGGTGACCACGCATTGTGCTCGATGCGGCAATCAACATACCGCATGCGGAAGTCCATCACAGCATCCGGCGTGGGCCACAACATGACGAGCAGACCCCGGGTTTCTGACAATAATGCTATTCTAAGGAACAGAGGACTACCCTGAAGAATGTCCGGGCCTGCTGCATTGGGAACATCTGTCAAAGAACGGCATTGACAGCCCGGATCCTCGCCAATATGTAATGCTGATACCATGCGCAACTCCCACGTTCGGTGACAATGTCCCATGAACCGTTTTCGTGCACTGCTGGATTGATTTCTTGCACTACTTGAAGGTCAACAGATCCGCCTTTGACTTTTTTTTCCTTTTGCCTCTTTGGTCACGCGGGTACACTTTTTACCTTATTCTGTTACAGTATGATCTGTCCGAACGAACAATCAAGCCCACGCCCACCATTTTAAGAAAATTCTACTCATGGGATTTGATCATAAAAGAACTTCCGTGGGACTGTCCCGGACAATGAGCACCGGCTCTCTTCCATTGTCCATGTCCTTAAAAGGAGCAAACCTGCCGGATCGCCTGCGCCGTGCCACAGAGAAACTCAAGATTCTGACCAGAATGCGAGCCTGGCCACCACATCGTTCGAGGAAGAGACAACGCGAGGATGGCCCCAGCCGCTGTCATCTCTTGGAATTACCTACGGAGCTGCTCTTGGAAATCATCTCGCATCTCACACTGCTGCCAGAAGCAGCGCTGGCGCTCACTTGCAAGCGCATGTTTGCGATATCTGGAGAGATCCTCGCCTCCAAGTCGCTCCGGTTCAGTCGCGACTTTGCGCCCCTGTTCCACCACTACCGCAACGGACACAACTACGTCACGCCAAGGTGGCAGTTCCTCACCTTGCTAGAGAACAGCAGATGGCGTCTATGCTCCAAGTGCCTGAAACTCCACCCTCGAGCCGCATTTTTACCCCGAGAGTTGCGTCGCAAACCAGACAATCGAACCTGCAATGTCGGAGAGTTGGCAGGAATTGTCGACCTGTGTCCGTGCAAGAAGTTGACATTCCGCGATAAGATGGACCTAGTGGACCATCTGCGCGTGCGGCAGGTCACTCTCGCAGCCCTCAATTCCCAGTTCGGCAATTCAGTCACAGACCGATATTGCTGGCACTCATGCACCGAGCAGTACGGTCCAACAGAACTTAAAGTTGCACTGTTTCCCGAAATCAATGAGGAGAACCAACTGGTCATTCGAACAGAGTACCATCTCACGACAGAACCGGGCCAGGTCGGCAAGGAGGAATGCATGACGCCGCGTTTCGGGTGTGCTCACCGATCTGTGGACCTGTGGCTCTCCAGTGTGTATCAAACCACCGTCTGCCGGTTATACGATTCATTCTGCGCCTCCTGCAAACGCATCTCTGTCTGCAGCGCCTGCAACACGACGCTGAAGTGTCCTCGCAAGCAACCGCTCAACACGGACAAGTCCGGCAAGCGGGCGACCTATTCTTTCTGGACGCAGAGATCTCTTGGAAGCATTTCATCTGTTCCGGACCAGGACTGGGCTGTTCAAAGAATCCACCCTGCTGAACCATCCATAAGCGTGGATAACTGCAATGAACTTTGCCCGTGGACTGTCCGAGAGCATCCACCGCTTACTTTTGCGCCCAGTCTGGATCAGGAGATCATTGATCCAGCGGTGAATGATCAGACTATGTCCCAGCTATATTCGTCGATCCGCATGATATAAAGGAGCTTCGTGGTGTTTACTTGGTGTTAAATCGGGAGCATCGGAGTTTATCTACCCATCATGTGCATTGCAGATTCGTTCATCTCGTGAGTGTATAGATACTACGTTGTACAAAGCATTATCTTGTCGTCCTTTTATAGAGAGTCGTCAGTGAATAAGGAGTCCATCTTTTTCTTCTACAGTATACCCGGTTCGCAATCCAAGACGAACCAATAAAAAGGATATCATATCTCATTAGATACTCGTTCTCGGCCATTTTGTTTCTTTTTCTTATGAGGTTACCTAAGTACTACAGTATCTCAATTACTACCTCCCTACCTTCCCCTATTCCTAACGAATAACTATTTCAAATGCTCCGAGGGTTTATTCCATAAACCTAAACGGCATCCGGTACCCGACCGCCGGTAGAGGTTTGCGTAGATGGTGGGGCGCAACTTAAAACTAGTAGTAACTACCAATTAGCGCCCTTAAGCTTCTGACGCTAAGAGCCGTATCGAGACTTAAGAATTACTACATGTACATTTCGCTTTAATCTGAGGCTGCCATGTTCGGCGTCATTTGACGTTGAGAATGGTGTCGTCGGCCCATGGGACTCTTGCCACGGCCCCAGCAGCGAGTCGCCGACGCACCCACTAATAATAATACCAGTGCGACATTCGACAACCGCCATGTTCGAAATACTAAAGCTTCGGCCTTGATAGAGATTTCCTTCGCGAGTTCGAAAAGGTCATGATCAGCTGTAATTCGGCTGTGCCGCCAGATTTTCACATTTACAGTGTCGAGGAAATTGTTGCCGAGGGATGCGACATCGTTGGTGTTCCAGATGATATGGCCAGACTGGGAGGCCAGAAAGCCACGAACGGCGTCTTCAAAATCGCTCGGGACATAGTAAGCGAAAGTATGAGCCTAAAAGGGGCGCGAGGATTATAGAAAGTGGGTTTTGTGTCTGATCGCGAATGAATGATGTGCTTTATACGTAACAATCATACAGAGCCAGGAGGTCATCTCGGCGCCATCTCGGTTCATGAACCGAATGTACCGAAGTGGTTCGGCACCCCCGCGCTTTACCCCAGATTATAATTGTACAGATCTGCGCCGGGGTATTTGAAAAAATACTCTTCCCTCGTCCTCAATTGCTCCACAGTTTTTCAGAATGGATCCCAAGGAAAGCTCCGAGCACGTCGAGATGATGGACAGTCCAGTTTCGAACGATGACTTCGGCTTCACGTTGCGCCAGCAGCGGCACATTTTTCACAAGATTGACCGAAGACTTATTACTGGTCTTGGTTTGTTGCTTGGTGTTAGTCTTATGGACCGCACCAATTTGGGCAATGCATCGATTGCAGGGTACGTGGCCGAACCCATCGAAGTATACTATTTGCGTTGACCTAACCCCGTGTAGGATGCAGGAAGACCTTGGATTAACTGTTGGGTCAAGATATGTTCGTATCTCTTGGTTTTTTTTTTTTTTTGGGTAGCTCTCTTGCTAACGTCACAGTCTCTCATTGTGTTGATTTTCTTCGTTCCCTATGTCCTCTTCCAACTGCCGAGCTCTATCATCGTCCGGAAGGTGGGCCCTCGTCAATTCCTCGCAGGTATCACCTTCCTGTGGGGGGTTGTGATGATGGTAAAGCCCTTATCCTCTCTAATGGACCGAGTCAACACTGATAGCGGCAGTGTTTTGGTTTCGTTCACGACTGGAAGGTGATGATGGGCCTTCGCGTCGTTCTCGGTACTTTTGAAGCTGGGCTCTTCCCAGGGGCGGTCTACCTCCTCTCTCTATGGTACCCTCGCTGTACGTTCATCGACGCGTGCTGCTTCTTACTTCCTGACCTCTAACTAACTGATAAATCTAGATGATGTACACAAACGCTACTCTTCCTTTTATCTGATAAGTACCATCGGAGCTTCTCTCTCGGGCGTCCTCGCATATGGGTTCATGCAAATGGCCGGTCTTGGAGGCCTTAGTGCCTGGCAATGGATATTCGTGATGGAGGGCCTTCTCACCTGTGTTTTAGCAGTGATCGGTTACTTCCTCATTATAAGCTTCCCCCAGGATGCCCACAAGGCGCATCATTTCCTATCGCGACAGGAGCTTGACTTTGTCCTGCACCAACTTGAAAGGGACCGACGTGACGTGAAAGAGGAAGCATTCAGCTGGTCAGCATTTTTGAAACCTGCTCTCGAGCTGAAAGTCTGGGGCTTTGCAATGATTTTTCTGTATTCCTGTCTATTCTCCCTTTCCCTTCAATTGGCTAACCCTTTTCTAGCTGTGCCACTGTGGTCGCTTATTCTCTCGCCTTTTTCTTACCTATAATTCTATTCAGCAGAATGGGATTCAGCGTCGGTGTTTCGCAAGCCCTTTGCACACCACCATACGTCTGGGCCGGTATTGTTATGTACGCCGAGGGCTGGCTAGGTGATAAGTGGCATTGCCGGAGCCCCTTCATTATTTTGAACGCACTACAGGCAATTGTCGGCTTATGCCTCCTTGAATGGACAAGCTCCCCAGGAGTGCAATACTTTGGCGTTTTCCTTGTGTGTGCCGGCTGTAACGCGAATGTCCCCGCTGTGTTATCATGGCAGGCGAACAACATTCGTGGCCAATGGAAGCGGGCTTTCTGCAGTGCCAGTATGATTTCTTTTGGCGGTACTGGTGGTATTGTTGGGGCCCTTGTATTTCGGGCTCAAGATGTGCCAGAGTATTTTCCAGGAGTGGTAGCTTCAATTGTGTAAGTCTGGCTGTACATCTTGGTTATTGATTCTCTTGGGCTAACGAATTCATTTTGCTAGGTGCAATGTCATTATCTTAATCATCGCCGGAATGCTCACGCTATATATGTACAAGGCGAACCAAAAGGCCAAGCGGGGTATGTTGGAAATCGAAGGATTGGCGGGATTTTACTATACTCTGTGAAGTAAAGCCTGCTACCATACAGTAACGATGATAGGAATTAAGTCGTGCTCCGGTATAAATTTTAGTGATAATACTGAGCTACTATTTGAAACATATGAGAAGCATCTTTCCCAAGAAGACTCCCAGGATAAGGCACCGAGTATCTACGGCCGGTCACCTGAGTCGTCGCCCAAATGCTCTCTACCGTCGTCTGGCACCTGACCTGACAAGGTAGAATGCTATTTCACAATGTAGAGTACGTAGGCTACTGCCCAGGGATTATTCAAGGTTTCATTTCATCCTACCATGATAGGATAGTTAACGAATTAGCGTACAACGATTTCATTCCCGTAGATACATGCGAATAGTGTATTTCAGGAGCGGAAATCTCAACTCCAAAGACAACGTCATTAGAACAAACCAGAAAACAAGGCTAGTCTTCATTCCCATTTTAGTTCCCTACAGAAGCATCCGTTGCCTCGTGCAGGCGGACCGTCACTACATCGGCCGGGGAGCTTGTCAGGGTCAACCCAGCGCGGATCTGCCGGTCCGGATTGACGTCCTCGATCTGATCGAAGCGCTGCAACAGACGCACAAGGACATAGCCCGCCTCCGTAAGCGCGAACTGCTGACCAATACAGATGCGCGGACCGCCGTTGAAGGGAATGTAATCCCAGCCAGGCTTGCGGTTGGCCCATCGCTCAGGCTTGAACTCGTCGGCATCAGGCCCCCAGATGTCCTTGCGGCGTTGCATGACGTGCGTACTATACATAACATGTTGACCCTTCCGGATGAAGACGGGGGAAAGACCGTCTGGGCCACCCCCGCGTGGGAGGGAGGTATCGCGAGTGGCAGAGCGCCGGTTGAAAGGGACCACTGGGTAGATACGCAGGGTTTCGTTAATGCAATATTGTAGGTACTGGCAGGACTTGAGAGCGGCGAAGGTGATGTTCTGGGGCGTAGAGTACGTGCCAAACTCAGAGATGATGGTTTCCCGGAGTTTGCGGAAGACGTCTGGGTGGCGCGCTAGCATTAGGACGGTCCAGCTAAGTAGGGAAGCGGTAGTGTCGCGGCCAGCCAGGAGGATATTCAGGAGTTGCGAGCGAAGCTCGATCGGGTCATGTGTCATAGACACTAGTGCATCTAGGAAGACGTAGCTCGCGGGCTTCTCCTCGTCCACAGGTGCCTTCTTGCCGGCTTTCACGGCAGCCAGCGCATTGTTAACAAATTTGTCCACAAACTCGTGCACCTGCTTATCCGAATGGCGGGTTTTCTTGCTATTAACAATCCAGGAGAGTTTCTCAAACCGGGTCCGCTGCGCCGCAACCCACTGAGAATAGTCAAAGAATGAAGCGAACTTATCTTCGGGCCGGTTGAGGCCGCGCAATGCACCCATCTGGCTCTCTATACTTTCGCCAAATAGAAACTCAGTAGCGGAGTCAATGGTTAGTCGGAAGAATACCGTCTGAATATCGGTGCTAGCGGTCCACCCATTCGCCGCCACGGGGAGTGCCTCCATCGCCTTCTGAACATGGTCTTCCTCTAGGTCAAGCTGGCTGATCTGCTCGCGAGTAAATTGAGGGCGCAGCAACGAGCGAGACCGCGACCACTCCTCTCCGTCGGCTGTGAACTGTTTGCATTGTCAACTACATATCACTTCAGCTTTAGGATAGCAAAAACCCACGATTCCTGTGCCCAGCAGCGGGTGTAGGCTAATGTGCCGAGCTGCCCCAAGCTCGAAATCCTTGAACTGAGTCGCCAGTAGCGCCTGAATGTTCTTCGGATCGATAGTGAAGATATTGTTGCGGCCGAGATTGCGTAAAATGAAGGTCGTGACGTAGCGATTTTCCTTTTCGCTAATGGCCGTCACACGGTTCATAGCCAGCTCCGGGAGGGTGTTCTCGCGGTCGGCGGCGAGCGACTCCTTGAGGTTGCCGATTCCCAGCGGGTCCTTACATGGGTACAGCGGCACAGCAGCACAGCCCAAGCTCTTGGCCTTGCGCGATTGCTGCCACGAGACAAACAGTAAACGGATGATATGCAGCACGAGCGCTGCGGCAGCAAAGCCCAGGACGAAAGAGGGAGTCATGGCGGACAGTGCAGCTCAGGGGGGAGTACGTCGCAAGCAAGTGCAAGAACATGAACGTTGCTTTTATCTCTTACATGAACCGAGCTAGTCTCGGCAAAAACCTCGGCTGTGCCGAAGTGGGAAAGTTCAGGCCTGCTAGCCGCTGCCAGGGACGTTCATGTGCAAGCATTGCAGGGGCCAATAGAAAGGTGGATATCAGAGACGATTGTCGGGCTTCGGAGCAAGCGCGTCTAGGCAGGTCCGCCGTGGCTCCACCTCAGCTGCCACAGAATGCGTATCCACGAACAGGCTTTATAAGTTGGGCGAACCTGCCAAGTCTCACCTGTATAGTCAAGTGAGGACTCTGACTGGGCTAGTGGCGGCAGAAAGGCGTAGCAGATGTGAGGAAGAATTGTTGCATAATAGTGGAATAGTTTAGGGCTGGTGCGGCATGGCTGGTGGGCCGAGCATCAGGGTCGATTAGAGATCATGCAATTGACCATGGCATTCTTGGGCATTGGAATCGTTCTGGTTTAGAGTTCTGTTTGCCTAGGCATGATTAGTCTTCGCCTTCTTCTCGACACGCGCCGCTGCAATCTCTTCTGTCGCTCACTCTCGCCCGGTGTGGAAATTTATACTCGACTAAGGCATACGAATTAAAGTAGTTTAATTTGGAGAGTCGGATGTGTATGACGAATATACCCTCTCTGGATCCTTTGTTCCACGTGGAAGAGTGGCCAAGCGCACTTTCAGTATAGATTTGTCAGCACTCATGTGTGTGTGTGTTAAGGAAGGCTAGGGCCATTGTAATTAATGCTTCATCAGGTAGAGCTATGCTGAAACAACAGTTGAACGGTGTATCTAAATTAAAATGCCAGCTGATACTGGTTGAAAATCCAGTCCAAGTCATCATCTCCCAGGTCCCAGGACTTTTCGGGCACTAGTTGGTCGTCGAATTCCTCACTTTCTTCTTCAACCAACACCAAACGAGGGCTAAGCGTACTTGGGAATGGAAACAATCCCTTCAAAACCTCGGAGCCCGGCACACGTATTGTCCATGATCCATTCATACACTCTGTGTCCTGGGATCCATTTGCATCCTGGCCGTGACGAAGAACCTCGTTGGAGTCAATGGCGCATAGTCGCGCTAGGATATCCAGGAGCGTCCCAGTTGCAGGCCACTTTATGCGCATGTATTCCAGCACCTTCGTAAATATACGTAATTCTTCGGTACAAAGCTGGTCTTTTCCGCGGCTGACCGCGTTCTGGTGAATTTGTGGCGCACACCCTGCCATAAGGAACCAGTTATTCATTGGCATTAGATAGTTTATCTCGTCGCGAAAATGCATTTCTTCATATAGTCGAGCAATGCAGGATGATGCCACCAAGGATGCGGCTGTTGCTGTGGAACGTGGGATCGAGATACCAAGGAGGCGGCAGAACACGATCACACAGACAAAGTAGTTGATATGGATCTCATGAACATCTCGCCTAAAAGGGGAGCGATCGAATTCGTTATATAATTGAAGATGATCTGGAAGGCTGTGGAGCCAATTTTGTAATGATTGCAGGATAGATGTTGCCTAAGAGTATCAAAGGTCAGCAAGCAATTTTAGTTGCTCTACTTCATCTCTCCTTTTCGTTAAGCTGATAGCCTGTGACGCACCTCTGAGTATGCAAAATCGTTCTTCCGGCTATGACTGTCGAGTATCTTGCCGAGAATAACATTGAGTTTCACGTATTCGACAAATAGCTCGGCCTGGCTGTTTTGGCAATCAAAATCGGTCAGTCTCAGGGGCCGTAAATCAAATTCCAACGACCCGACGGTGGATGGGCGTCCAAAACAAGCTGTCTGAAGTTTATCTTCAACCTTGATAGGACTTAGCAACTTGATAGGAACACTTTTTGAACGAACTTACAAATAGGAACCACATAATCCGGCGCGCATTCCCTGAATTTTGGAGATTTGCATAGGTCGGCTCACGGTGGAGGCCCATCTGCTGAGCAAGGCGCACTGCCATTCCCATCCAGTGCCACGAGCAATCAAGACTCACCACCGTGGGTGGTGTATAATTTCTGAATAGTAAGAAGCAAAGACACTTGAGTACGGTGTGGTGGTCCTTTTCATGGTTCACATATAACAGCGCCTTGACTTTGCAGTAATATCTCTCGCTTTCTTCAAGAGTAGACTCAATACCGGGATGCCGGAGAAGAGTACCAATTAAACAGAGGCTCTGCAAGAGCAAAACTGACGATTTGCCAGCTAACAGATCCTTTCGGTCAACGATGGGAGCACGATGATAGAGGTTTTTGAAATATATATCGACGAGACCGTCAATTTTGCCTTGCGGTGGAAGTGATGTTGCCCCCATAGTTCTGATCAACGCACCGGAGAAACTATCACGGGTAGATCTCAGAGCCACTGGCAACTGCAACGGCTCATGCTGAGATGTCACAGGGGACATAAAGGATATGTCACCCACATAAGCCTGGGGGTTGGTCGATGCTGAGCTAGCGGAAGGCTCGATGTTCGCCTTCTGGAGGGAAGATGGCGTATATATGCCCTCGGTATTGGTTGCTTCGATATTGGGAGGGCTAGTGCTTCGTAGCAGCCGTGGTGGACAGCGAGTCTCATATACCTTGCGACCTCGACGCCTACGCAGTCCATTAACAAGTGAAGAGGCTCAAAGGCTCCCTGTTTATCACCTTACCGGCAACTCTGACCGCGTCGTTTACAATTACTGCAGACACCGCCGGTTTGATCTTCTAGGTCGCATCGCACCTGGTCTGCTTAGTCGCCGATTATGCGAGGGAAAAAATCGCTTAGCCTACCTTGCGAGAATGGCAGTGCAAGCAGACAACCCTTGCACGATCTGCCATGTCCGAAATGAGCTGAAAAGTAGCATGAAGTTGCGTCTAGTGTACAAAATGGATCAAGTTGCTTGTATCAGCTCCGAGCATCACCCGTCCTCCCACCCCGCACCGAGCTTGCCGAGAATACCGAGAACTGCCTACACTGCCGAGGGATCTTCGTAATTCTGCAAGCCGTTGAAAAAGCTGGCCGTGGATACCAACCAATGTTTAATGACCCTGGGTCATAGTGTAACCCACGAGAGACTGAGCCATACAAGTGAGTGGGCCACGCAACCAACTACAACTATTTCAAATCGATTTATTAGACCACTAACGCCATTAATTTCAAATTTATACCTATTAGACCTAGTACGGCAATGTGTTCTTTTACGCTCAACTTTACTGTAGTCGCTGCATTCGGGGTCACGTCTGATTGCTGTGAAGCTAATGCATCTGCTTTCGATGGGGGTGACCAGCGCTGAGAAGGAGAGAAGAAAAGGCAGAGGAGGGCCAGGCTCGGAAGACTGAGAATTGAACTGTCTATAGCGCTGCTAGACGATAAGCCGTCCTGTAAAGTCGCTGATCTAGACAATATCTCCGGCATTTGAGTCTGAAATCTGCACGCTAATGCGGGGAACCTAATGTTGTGTGTAAAATTCTCAGCCGCAAAGGATTTCTGACAGACTGAGAGGAGTAACAAATTCTTCTTCGTGAATATTGAGATAATAGCGCAGCATTCATCCTGAGCTTCGAATTTAGTATCGGAGACCTCCTCGGAATACTTGGGCTTGCAATAAAAGCCGTAGAGAGTGTGTTTGCGCCCTGCTGAGTGCGTTTGCAAATACGGATAGGTCTTTGGATAGAAACTCACAGTTTAACAGGCCTAGAAGCCTCTCTATCGTACTACAAGATGTCGAGATCAAAGTATCAGGCGCCACACTAAATGATCGGCAACAGACACATTTAGAGGAAATTTCTAGCGGCTGCCGACCTGTCCTCTCTGAGTTCGAAAAGACAGGTCCGAAAACATCAAGACCTAGAATACACTGGTCCGATTTTGACCCAAAGGGCGAAAAGAGTTTGGAAACGACTCAGATGGGGACCCGAAGATATACGGGACCTTCGAGATCGCATTAGCAGGCAGTAAAAGGGCAGGCGCGACCCTCTTGAATAGATATAGTTTGTTTCATCTGGCCTTCATGCCTCAGGCATCAACACGGACTCAGACATCAACCTCATTCGGTGACCACCACGCCGCCCAGGGCTTCCAACCATTTCGCGAGCGTCAAGTATTTCTTCCTCGCTCCTTCAAGCGACCGTCTCTGCGATGAGCTTCCCACCACCGCACGGTCAATACCCTTATGTCCCGCCCTCCTATCCTCCTAATGGGCAGCATATCCCGCCCCAGTTGCTGTACAACAATGTCGCGCCGAATCCGCCGTCGCCGTATAACGCCGGCTATGGCAAGCCGGGGATGTATCCCCAGGCGATGATGCCGCAGTACCCTGCCTACCCTCAGCAATATAATCAGCAGCAGTTCAGTCAACAACCACATTTACATCAGTCTCCGTCTCAGCACCTTCAGCAAGCCCCTCCGCAGTCTCCGGCGCAGTCGTCTCCGCAGCCCCAACTCCCTCACCACCGACCATCACCACAGCAGGTACCACACGCTCAACCGCCGTCGCAATCACCCCGACCTCCTCCACCGCAGTCGCCTGTTCGGCATCCACCACCAGGGCCGCGCCCCCGTCCACCTCGGCAAGAAGAGCTCCAACATCAGTTCGTGAACCCGGCTCAGCTGTTCGTCCAGCCGCCTCTGCCGACTGCTCCTCGATCTCGATATACTCAAATCTCGTTGCAATATAATGAGCCACCCATAACCTCCGCTGCGACGGCCACTCCCCAACCACAAACTTTTCCGACCACCTCTCCGGCTCTGTCGCAAACACCCGTACCTCCGATTGCCCGCCCCCCTTCTGCGACCATAAAGTCAAACAACGAAAACAGTCCACAACAGGCAACCGCAAACGCTCTGCAGCCGTCCCCCATTGTTAAGGCTGAGCTGACGCCCAAGCCTTCTCCGAAAGTGGAGTTGAAGAAAGCTCCACCCGTCCCTTCACTATCACCAAAGAACGCTCCGCAGAACGTGGTACCAACGCCTTCCTCACAAAACCAGATGAAGGTTCAGAAACAGCAACAAGAGAAGCAACAATCGTACCCACTACCACAGCCACAGCTACAATCACAACAACAGCAGAACCGACAACCGAGCCAACAGACAGCTGAGAAGCTGACGAAGCCTACAAAACCCCCAGTCGATTACCAGGTTTTGTTGCTGTCTTTGGCCGATGAGTATTTGAATGCTGCCCACAATTCCGGAACGAAAGCGGCGCTGGCGACTCGTGAGGCAGATGTTGAGGAGTATTACAAGCTAGTTGCCACAGGGCTTGGCTGCTTGGAAGCGGTGCTCAAGGTAAGAAGCCTTTTTCTCGGGTTCGGCTTTGGCTAACAAATGTTTCTCAGAATTGGCGACTGCAACCTCGCAAAGAAGCTCTGGTGCGACTTCGCTATGCGCGCACTCTTTTCGAAGAAACGGATAATGATATCGAGGCAGAGACAGCTTTGAGCAAAGGGGTATGTTTGTCCTGTTGTTCCTGGCCGCTGTGATCAATATGCTAACTCGTGGGATAGATCGATCTTTGTGAACGGGTTAGTATTCTGCCAATTCTCCGTTGCCCTTGTACTCACCCTTTGCAGAATCGCATGCTGGACTTGAAGTACAGTATGCAGCACCTTCTTGCACGAATGCTTCATAAGAAGAACGCCAAGACTTCCTTGAAGGCTGTCGATGGCATGATCCAAGATGTAGAGGCGTACGTGGTCTGCCCGTCCTATATGACTGCGATTCTAATAAACCACAGGTATCGCCATGCCGCTTGGGAATATGCATTCCGTTTTCTTCGAGTGACACTTTCGCTGTCGTCTCGGGCACATCAAGACTTTGTGCAAGCACTACAGCACCTTCACAAGATCGCAGCTATGGCCAGTCGGAATGGTGACAAGGCTGTGTCGGCCATGGCGGCTGTCATTGAAGCCCTGGCCCATCTGCAGCAAGGGACGAGCTCGGACTCCATCGAGCAGGCACAGCGAGCGGTGGCAGTGGCACGGAGTCATCAACTGAACGACGAACTTCGTCACGTTCCCCAGCTGACGACCATTGTGCAGATGGTTGATATCTGCTGCAGCCTTTTGGAGTTCGACGTAAACCAGTCCGCGCAGAAGTTGAAAGCCATGCAAACGCTTATGGATGAGGCACTGACCGATACCACCAACTGGAGCTCTGATGGCTCCTTCTCCATTCCAATTAATGGCAAATCAGCTGGACCATCGTCAATTGATACGGGGGACATTTTGCAGGTCCACAATGGTACGCTGCTCTTGAGCTTCAATTGGCTTCCGCAGCATGATCTTTACGCCCTTTGTTACTTCATCAGCTCCATCACCTTGAGCGCCAAGAATTCTTACGATGGTAGGAAGGCAGAGAAGTATCTCGACGAAGGGCTCCGGATGGTTCAAGGGGGGGTTCAAGGTTCCACAGGAGATCTCAGAATCGATTGTTACTGCCAATCGACGTGTGGAGTGGCGGCAGGCCCTTCACTGCAATTTCCTTCTCCAGCAGGTCTTCCTGGCATGTGCTCGGACCGACTGGGATCTCGCCAGTCAAACCCTTAACAACCTCCGACAACTTGCCCAAGAGCTCGGCACCCGTCTTCCCGACAACGTCGAGTGTCTGATGGAATATGCGGCCGGCACCATCGCGCAAGCAACTGGTGACATCAAGGCAGCACTGGCAATATTCCAGTCACCACACTTGTCGCTATCACCTTCCTTCAGCAAAACGGCGCGCAATGATCCCCGGCGAGATGCAGGTATCCTCGCCGCGCTCAACACCGTGCTCATCATCCGAGACCCAACACACCCCTCACATTACCAGCTCCCTAACGTCCTATCCACCCTCGAATCCTTCTGCCAAGGCAGCCCGAACAAATATATCCAAGCCGCTTATTATCTCATCTGCGCAACCGTTCACACCGACTCCACGATCCAAACCAAACAGTTCCTGCAGCACGCCCTGCAGTCCGCCACGGCTATCAGCAACAACCAGATCACCTGCATGACACTCACATTTATGAGCTGGAAATACTTTCGAGGTGTGGTAGGCGAGCAAGCAGAGAAGAGCGCGCGAGCTGGTCGTGCTATGGCTAAGAGAGCCAATGACCGGCTGTGGGCCAGCGTGACGGACGAAATGCTCGCGGAGACCCTTGAGCGTCAGGGTAAAGGCGAGGAAGCTCAGAGTGTTCGGGAGGAAGGCCAGCGGCTGACAATGGGATTGCCGCCTGCATTGAGACGGCCAGCCTGATTGATTACCGCTCAGGTTGATTTTCGTATCATATCTATCACGTTTTGCTTTTCGGGCGCATTGTTTATGATACCATTTCAAGCTTATGCGGAGCGGCGTTAGTTCTTTTCTTATTATTGGCGCTGCATGGGGTACAGTTTGGTGGCGCTGGAAGATATCTTCGATGCCGGCCTCGCGGCTGTTATGAGACCAATACGTTGCTAGCTATAGCTTTAGGTAACTATTCATTATCGTGTAGGGCATCTCTATCACTTCTAGTTAAACATAGGATGCAGCTGGGTATTATCTTCTCGAGTCATCGATTGCTCTGCTTTCACCACCTATAACACGATAACGGGCGACACCAGCCCGAATGTACAACCACCCTTGTCGCCTTTGGTATAATAGTAGTCGTAGGCCATCCTCACTCGGACCGCCAACAAAAAAAGAATCAAAGACCCTTGCAATAACAAAGAACACCAGCCCGAATACATGCCCACAAAACGCCTGACGTGGTAGCTGGAGATAAAACACCCATTGCTCACAACACTGCCCAACAGTAATAGGAGCCGCCACTAAGATCAGGGAAGAGAAACCCCATCAGAAAAAAAGATAACACCACTGCAACAGACAGTCCAGCAGAGAGAAAAAGAAAATCACCCGAGACCGGCCCAAACCCCACGAATCCGCCTCGCAAGCTGAATATCCTTCTGCATAATGGTAACGCGCTTCGCATGGATGGCACACAGATTCGTGTCCTCAAAGAGATGCACCATGAACGCCTCTGCCGCTTCTTGCAGCGCCTGGATCGCATGCGACTGCCACCGCAGCTGGGCGCCGACTTCGGCAGGCAGGAGATCGAGCGCGACTTCACGGACTAGCCGCGCGAAGGGCAATTTGGCGATCAGGAGGTCGTAGGAGCGTTGGTACCGGCGGATTTCTTTGAGGGCCACGGTGCCGGGCTTGTAGCGCCGGCGTCGGCCTTGTGGGGTTGGGTCGCCGGCTTTATTATTGATGTTAGGAAATGGGTTCGGTCAAGAAATGTAAGGAAGGGTAAGAGAGTGTGGGTGGGGTGGGTGCATACGCTGGACATTGGAGGCCCGTTTCCCGGCTGGTTGCTTGCCTGCCTTCACGGCGGACTTGCGCGCTTTTGCGGGTGAGCTTGTTGCGGAGGATGGGCGTCCTGCTCGTGGTTGGTGGCCAGAGGCTGGGACTTTGCGTGCGAGCTTGGGCGGCATCGTGGGATTGAGAGGCTGCGCTGAGCAGGAGGGGAATGGAGGGGTTGTTGTTCTCGACGACGGTCAATGGGGATGGATGACCGTAGGGTGCACGAGAGCTCTCCGTCGGTTGGAGAGAAGCTGTCTCGGCGCGAGGGGAGTGCCTTGCAGCAGCAACAGAGGGGTTGTGTAAATTCACTCTCAGAAATTGACACAAAAAAGGGACTGGTCCTATAATGATAATTGTAGGGGCTGGACATGAATGCAATCTTGCCGCTTTAGTCTCTCCCCCAGCCCCCATCATTATGCGACGCGCCCGTGTCGCGTCGGATCACGTGACGATAAGCGCCCGATATGCATTACTTGGTCTTTCCCGCTTGACGTCTATCATCCTCGACACTCCGTCTACTGACCCAGCTAGAGATCTCAGTCAGCCACTCACACTCTCCTCAAGCAATCATGGCCGCGATCTGGGAGAACAACGGGCAGGTGGGCCAGTTCCCACTGGAGCAATGGTTCTACGAGATGCCTCCCGTGACTCGATGGTGGACTGTCGCCACCGTCGCGACCTCCGTACTAGTGCAGTGCCACGTCGTGACTGCCTATCAGCTCTTCTACAGCTTTCGCTCCGTGTACGCCAAATCCCAGTACTGGCGACTGCTTACCACATTCCTCTATTTCGGCCCCTTAAACCTCGACCTCTTATTCCATGTCTTCTTCTTGCAGCGCTACTCGCGCCTCCTGGAGGAATCCTCCGGCCGCTCCCCCGCGCACTTCGCCTGGCTGCTCTTCTACGCCATGTCCTCACTGTTGCTGATGTCGCCGTTCCTGTCGCTGCCCTTCCTGGGCACGTCGCTCTCCTCGAGCCTGGTGTATATCTGGGCGAGGCGGAACCCGGAGACGCGGCTGAGCTTTCTGGGTCTGCTCGTCTTCACGGCGCCCTACCTGCCCTGGGTGCTGATGGGGTTCAGCCTCATTGTCCATGGCACCGTGCCGAAGGATGAGATCTGTGGTGTCGTCGTGGGCCATGTTTGGTACTTCTTCAACGATGTCTATCCGTCTCTGCATGGTGGACACCGGCCGCTGGATCCGCCGTTGTGGTGGCGCCGTCTGTTTGAGCGGGTGGATGCCGGTACGGATGCGACGAACGTGAACCGTGAGTTTGCGGCCGCGGCTGCTCCAGAGGTGCGATGAGTGATGCCGTCGAATTGAGCGAGACCGGATGTTGAGTTCATATCTGGCAGCTTACTATCCATGGCCGGTCTTGATTCTTGCAATTCTCATTAACCTCTATCGACCGAAGAAAAGCGAATTGGCGCGGATTCTCGATAGTCAAGATGATCAGCAGAGAGAAATTGGGTCATGATTATGCATGGATTGGTTTACGAGCGACTTTTTGATTTTTTTTGTTCTTCATTTTGCATTGAACATAGCCAAGATAATAGATACCCTTGATCATTGTATTGATTGCCACGATATACTCTACCGTTTCACTCTCATTGGACTCCATTGATAACCCCCCGCCCATGTTTAGTCGGGGCCACTCACGTCATGTCCACCCGCTGATCATTGGACTTGCAGTAGAGCACTTGTACATGGTCCATACGGTCGAACAAGCCATTGTGGTTGCCTAACACTGCCTCCTGTTTCCTGTATGCCCATCCTAGGTACGGCCGAACACGCGGCACGACGAGCCATGGGTTGCGCGGAGGCGAGAGGCAGTCCAGTGGCTGTGGGGGCAAACTGGTGGGCCACGGCGCCGAAGGAAGACCTAGGTGCTGACTGCCCGCAAGGCCTCCTGCCCGGCCGATAGAAGTGCGTAAGTAGTCGCCGAACATGCTTATCATGGTAACCGGATGGCGAAATAGATTGACCACCCTCACCTAGCGCAACCCCAAGCTGCCCCGTGCACGCTCCACAACCCCGTGCCGACGGTACTGCCACAATGATGATGGCATTGTGGCAGCCCATGCGAGGCGGCGCCGGGCACGTTCCCTGTGGCCCGTGTATGTGCTTAGCCCCAACCGGGCAGAAAACTAGTAAACTCTTCTTGTGCGCACCCCCACATGGCTGTGTACCTAGGTCTGTACTCTTTCTTGATGACGAGGCCTTCCGATAACCATGGACGGAGTGCGTAACACAACTGGGTCAAAGGCGAAAAATGCCCCTTTCAGACCCGCCGGGCGGGTGTGCAGCCAATGGCCGCCTCCGCTGACTCAGATTAGCCACGCCCTCAGCCTCCTGTATGGCGTGACCATACACCGGGCGATACTTGCGTGAGCCATACGGTCATTTACCGTCGTATTAAACTCGCCCCTGGCTCTCCAGAGTTCAACCATCGCTTTCTCTTTTGGCCTTAGTTCCCTCTCCACCTCCCGCTTGTCGCTCCTTTTGGCCTTCAACGTGGTTCCCCTGGGGATTTCCTCTCTCTCTTGTCTTTCTCTCCTTAATCTGATCACCCCCCGTACTACTACATCCCTTCCCCATCCTCCTGGCCATTGAATCCTACCCTCCTCCCCTGAGTGCCAACCCCAGATTTCTCCTAGAACGTCTGTCTCTCCGTGACAACTCCTCCTTTCTTTCTTGCTTCTTCTCTCACGTGCCCCCGAGCACTCGACCAAACTTGATGACCCCGGAATTGTGTTGAGTATTTGCTATTGGAACTCGTCCACCAATTGGTCGTCCTCGACGGAGATTTCTGGTTGACTCCCAAGCTGGGGTGACCGTTCTTCTCTCGCCGCCGCCACCATGCGACGCGGACTTGTGATCTTTCTCCTGGTCAATCTGCTCATCATCGCGTTCCTGGTCCGCAGCGTCTCGACCCTGCTCTCGCTGCTCCTCGAAGATGCCGCCGCCGACGCCATTCACCACGCCGAGCTGCCCTCGCCTAACTCCAGCCTGATCGAGCAACGCCCGCAGATCATCCCCAAGATTATTCACCAGACCTACAAGAACGAGACGATTCCCGAGGTGTGGGTGGAGGCGCAGCAGACTTGCATTGACTTGCATCCTGACTATGAATACATTGTACGTGGCTGCCTAGAAGTGTGTGGACCTGCAGATTACTGACGCCTCCCAGCTCTGGACGAATGAGAAGTCGCGCGAATTCATCGCGGCCGAGTACCCCTGGTTTCTCGACACGTTTGACGGCTACAAATACCCCATCCAGCGGGCTGATTCGATCCGCTACTTCGTGCTGGCGCACTATGGTGGTACATATATCGATCTGGACGATGTAGGAATTGCCCCCACACATTTTTGAAAATCAAGTTGCTAACATGACGGTGACAGGGCTGCAACCGCCGATTGGACCCCCTGCTCTCCTACCCCGCGTGGGTGCGCCGGACGGTCCCCACGGGCATCTCGAACGATGCCATGGGCTCCGTACCCCAGCACCCGTTCTTCCTCCGTGTGATCGAACTGTTGCAACAATATGACCGCAGCTGGCTGCTGCCATATATCACGGTCATGTATTCCACTGGTCCGCTGTTTTTGTCGGTTATCTGGAAGGAGTACATGCAGGACCGACCCAGCGAGGCCGGCCGCGTGCGCATCCTCATGCAGGACGAGTACAACCGGTTCTCCTGGAGCTTCTTCACCCACCACCGGGGCAACAGCTGGCACGGCAAGGACGCGCGCCTGATCTTCTGGATGGGCCAACACTGGATTCTCCTGACTTTCCTCGGCTTCATCCTGGCCGGTGTGGTCGGCTTCTGCCTCTGGTGGACCTATGGTCGAGTCATGCTCCTGGGAGCCAAGTACCGCTACAGCTACACCAAGGTGCCCTCCTTCATGGGGCCGTCCCGCCTCTCGTCCTCGCCCACACGGCGCTCGCGCATGCTCCCCACGCTGCTCCGACGCGTCAGCTTCAAGGAAGACGAAGAAGCTCGTGGGGTCACCGAGACCTCGTACGAGCTCGGTCGTCGCGATGATTGATTTGATCATTTCCGTGTATTTTGTGTGTATCGATACGGCCTTGGACACGATCTGTGCATCTCAGCATTTATATGTACACTTTATTTACTTTCTGTTTGGGAGCGCTATGCATGGTGATTCAGTCTCGTTGGCGGGACCCTGGATTGACTGCTCACCTGGAGCCATTGGTTTTTGATTTTCTGCCATTTGAGGGGCCTATAACCACGCCTGCTGTGGTGGTGGGATTACTCTGGGATTGCCTGGTCCCTCTATTTACCCAACCCTATGATTTATAACCAATTTTTAGACTTACATTACTTCTGGGATCAGAGACCAAAGAAATCTATTTGCTTGAAACTACTTGCTTCACATTCTTGGTGCTGGCATTCCTGACTGTGGTTGGTTTGAATGGCGTTTCAGACCAACCCTCCCAAACCCTAACTCCAGCGCCAATAACAGACGCGCGCCTTACATCGCCCAATCCATTGTCTCACATTCTCCGCGAGCACCCTTTGTCTACTAGCCTGCTGGCCACAATGCCCAGCAATGGGCGGCTATGCGGCGGTTCCCTCACCCACCTCTCTCAGCAATGTAGTGGGCAACCCATATAAAGCCACCACTCCTTGGCTTTCTCTAACATACTGTCCTCATCTCTCAGAATATAATTGCTAGCCAAACTGCGTTGCTCTCCTTTGCTCTATCTCCTACACGCAAAATGTGGCACCTCTACCTCACCACCCTCTCCCTCCTCACCCTCTCCCTCTTCTCCGCCGCAGCCCCAATCTCATTTTCCTTTCCTCTGATCCCCCGCGATGCCGCCCTCACCCAAGCCCAGGTGGAAACCATTGCGCCCAAATCAAACACATGTGACGATGCTCCAGCTAAGGGCGAGTGTGCTACCGCAAAAACCGCCGCCAAGTACACCTCGCAATCCTTTGATACATACGAAGTCACATCGAAGGCAGAGCAGGCAGCTATCATCAGTCTGATGGCGTTTGAAAGTCTTGACTTCAAGTATAACAAGAACCATTTCCCAGGTGTGCCGGGCCAGGGCAGTACGCATTCCTTTCTTTTCCACCTCTGTCAATAAACGAGGTGATGATGATTAACGAATTATACAGCGCGTAACATGCAATCCCCATCCTACAACAAAAAGTACGCCGCCTCCCTCCCAGATCTCAAAGACAAGGTCGCCAAAGTCGCCAGCAGCCCGGCCGATCTCCTGGATCTGCTCCGCGATAACCACAGCTATGACTTTGGCTCTGGGGCGTGGTTCTTGACCACGCAGTGCTCCAAGGAGGTCCGGACTGCTTTGCAGACTGGCGACGAGGAGGGGTGGCAGCGGTATATTAGTGATTGTGTGGGTACGTCTGTTACAGATGAGAGGAAGGAGTATTGGCAGAGGGCTATCAAGGCTCTAGGAGTGAAGAGTTCGTAATTCTTTCTTCTGCGTCGGCTGGTCGAAGCAGGTTCTTCGACGGGTGTTTTGGGGTTGATTGAAGTATTCATGATTGATGCATTATGGCATTATTAGAGATGGTTTAGCCATGAATTGATATCGACATTACATATTCTCATCCGTTAAATCCTTGCTATCCTTCAAAACAATTGACCAGAAGAATAAACAAAGATACAATATATTCTAATCCCATCTCGTCACACATACACATATTTACAATCGACCCAAAATCCCCCGAATCTAAAGAACCCCCTTAGTACTAACTACATCCCCCGCCCCAACCTGCCCCTCAACCCTCCTCGCACAAGCCGTCCTCATCGCAACAGCAAGCGCCTTGAACGCGCTCTCCGCGCGATGGTGGTCATTATCACCATACGTGCAGCCCACATGCAGGGTCACGCCCGCTGCCTGCGCGAAGCTCTGCAAGCCATGCGTGATCATCTCGGTGCTGAGGTCGCCGATCTTCTCGCGCTTGAATCCCAGGTCGATGACTGCCCATGGCCGGCTGGAGAGGTCGATCACGGCCCAAGAGAGGGCCTCGTCGAGGGGGGCGTCGCCGCGTCCGAAGCGCGTCAGGGATTGCCGTGCGCCTAGGGCTTGCGTGAATGCCGAGCCGATGGCGAGGAAGGTGTCTTCTGTTGTGTGGTGGTCGTCAACTGCAGATTGTTCGTAAGTATATATATAAAAAACACCTATTTGGCTTCTTTCTCTTCTCCGTTGCCAATGGATAGGAGAGAGAGAGAAGAGTAGGACGCACTGTATAAATCCCCCTTCGCCCGCACCGCCAAACTCCACCCCGCATGCTTCGCCATCGCATGCAGCATATGATCCAGGAACCCGATCCCCGTGCTCACGGTGATCTGCTGGGTCGCCGTGAACTGCGTCGCATGGCCGGCATCCTTGGGCGGCACAATGCCATTCTTGGCCGCGGAGGCTTCTTGCGGGTCGCTTGGGGGTGAGAAGTGAGTGGTGGGCTCGTAGGGAGGTAGGATGCCGCCGTCGAGACTGAGGGAGACTTGGATTTTGGTTTCGTTTGTTACCCGCGAGAGGGATGCTGTGCGCGCGGCGAGGGCCATAATGGTGGGTGGGTGTGTGTTGGAGCGTGATTTGGTATAACTGGAGGTCGGCGGCTTTTTCTTGGATCGGAGATGTTGAGTGGGATTATTGTTGATCCGGTCCTCTCCTTAGGTCATTGTTCTGGTTCTCTCATCCATCGACACACTCACTTGTACAGCTCCTTCTTCTTGCTTTCCTTTCTCCTGCTGGCCTGTCTTGAATTCAATTAAAAACAGAGTGTATCCTCAGCTTCTTCTGCGTCCATTTTCCTAATCTCCCCGCCAATCTTACAACACAGAAACTCAACCTACAGGAAACAACCATTCACCATGCCTCCCCCACCAAGTCAAAGAGGAGACATCGAGCCTCCAGCGGAACTTACCCGCGAAGCCGCCAAGGGCTTCATGA